TTTTATGGGTATGTGTGTATGTGTGTGTGTGAGAGACGGGGTGGGGGGGAGAGGGGGAGAGAGATGAGCCGGATGGCACAGGAATATTTACACAGGCACTTAGCCAGGAAACTGTGTTGTGTTTTCCATTGATAGGCTTGTTTAGGAAGGGCATCACCCGACTGTTTCAAGATTCCCCACACATCCCTTCACAGAACTGAGGTAGATTTGACCCAACCCTACTCCTAGGAGTACCAGGATGTATAAATAGGAAGGGGCTCAACGGGGAAGAGGAAAGCGAAAGGGAAGGAGGAAAAGTGAAACAAAGAGACTTTATGCAAAGTTGTGGGACAGATGTTAAATGTTGCCTCTTTAATTTAAGGCAAAGTGGTGTGATCATCAAAGACACCCATTCCCAGTTGCTTCACATTTTAAAAAGGGGCTAGTGACTATATGAAATAGTCTTCTGGAGAAATTGAACTGCTCAGATGAAAAATGGGACAGTTGAGAACCAAACATTTAAAAGGCTCAGAAAAATCCCCCTTCCTTTAAACCCTGTAAAATTTTGCATCCTGTCCCCTATCTTTGTTGACAGTGAAAACAAACCCCATTGATTCTAATGGAAAACAAACCTCATTGCTTCTAATGGGGCTTGCTTTCAAGCAAGCTGGCTTCGGGTTCCTGAAAGAGAGCCGACTCCAAAGGTCGGGACTTGCTTCCAGGTAAGCAAATCGAGGAGCAGAGCCCAAACATGAATTGAGATGCTCCTGTTTACAAGCCAGGTACATTCTAGTTTGCCTGGGGATGTGTGTGTGTGTGTGTGTGAAAAAGTATGAGGCACTTTCTTTTTTTAAATATGCAGCTGAAGTTGCAGAGTAAGATCCCTTAGGATGATAGGCGGCTAGGTTATATATTTCAGAGCGGAGCTCTCCACCGCTCTGTCTTTCTCTCTCTCTCCCTCTTTCTCTGTGCCTGTGAGCTTGAGACTAGCAGCTGAAGAGTGTAATAGCAGATGCTCGCCTGTGCTAAGCTGATTTACTTGTTTAAGATCTGACCTCATCATTTTGTCAGGATGGATTCCCACCTATTCAGTCAGGAAGATCTTCACTGAAGTGTCTGAGATATTCAGGGGAAGGAAGCGAAAGAGAATCCTGGCAAGGGACACATGCCCCTGTTTTGAATGAAGAGGAGACACTGAAAAACACAGGAGATAACAGGGTCCGTTGCATTGCTAGGAGAATTGGATTTGTGTGGCTGTTGCTGTTTTCCTTCTCTTTAGCAGAGATGTCAGTTTCTGGCAAGAAGGAATTCGATGTGAAGCAGATCTTGAGGCTTCGCTGGAGATGGTTCAGCCACCCCTCGCAGAGTTCCACCGGCACCGGAGGTTGCCTCCAGCAGGAAGGATATGAGCATCGAGGGACGCCCGTTCAGAGCAGGCTGAAAAGCCACTCGCGGGACAGAAACGGGCTAAAGAAAAACAACAGTCCCATCCATCATAACATCTTGGCGCCGGTGCCGGGCCCGACCCCAGTGCCCTACCGGCCGATCCAAACGTGGCAAGAACAAGACCTCATTGAGCAGCTTCAGGTGGCCGAAGAGACGCCCAAAGTTGACCCTGAGAAGAACTGTGACAAAGAAGACACTAACAAAAACACACAGGAATTGCAGATGATCACAGAAGAGCACAACGAAGAGGCTGGAGAGAGGTAGGTGTTAGGCACAGCAGCGTTAAGAAAGAACAACTACATTCTTTTGCTGCTGCTGCTGCTATTATTATTATGATCATTGATACTGATGTTGTTCATAGCATTATCATTTCACTGCCCATGTGCAGTTTGAAGAGTTCACAGCTTTGACATCACTTAAGCTGAAGAAAAACAGTTTAGATCGTATGACAAGTAAAGTCCCTGGGCCAAGTAAATTCAAAATTTTGCACAAGAGAAGCAACAGGGAAATGGAAGCAGGGGTAGTTTATTGGGCTTGATTCAGTTACATTGATTTAGTATAGTATGGATTGAGAAGTTAAACCACAACTAGTTCGAAAAGGTAGCTTTGGGGGCCATCCGTCCATCCATCCATCCATCCATCCATCCATCCATCCATCCATCCATCCATCCATCCATCCATCCATCCATCCATCCATC